CAAAATCAGTAATAGAAACTGTGGATGGTTAAACTTGCACATGAAAGGGATCGGCTGAAAATTTTGGCATAGCTTCCGCTGTCCCTGAAGGATAAAACTGTCACGCTGTCCCTATCTGAAGCTGGGAATAGCCATACTGATTCGATACTTGTTCAACGTTCCTTTACTGGCAAGGAACTTGTTGTAGAATTCTCCTTTACCGGCAAGGAGTCTGTCGTTTTTTGTTTTTGTTTGTTCCTTTACCCGCAAGGAACCTGCGGTTGAATGTTCCTTTACCCGCAAGGAACGTGCGGTTGGGGTGAGGTGTTATGTAGGAGATGTGGGGAAGAAAACATGAATATGATAGTATGGTACACTGTTGCCAGCTGACTCACCAGCAACAATGCAAGTCCAAGAAGAAAGAAGGAGAGACACTGTCCATTATCTGGGTGAGCCACCACCAACAGTGCTCCCACTTCTGTGGGGCTGAGGGTGTTGGCTCCAAGAACCAGCCGTGAGCGAACAGCGCCTGACCCCCTCTATGGTTAACTTGAGAATACACCATGAGTGATTTCAAGGTCGTTCAGTGTCAACATCTGACGGAATGAATTCCAAAGGCAACTAGATTTGTAAACGAAACTGTTTGAGGGCATGGTTGTTATAAGAAGAGTTTCTTTGCCGGGTCTTTTAGACAAACAGAAAAGTTCAAATAGTGCAATTGGTGTTTGATATTTAAAGACTTTAAAAAGTTCATTGCAGCAGTGATACGCGTATAAATTATGCAATGTCATGAGTGATTGACGGGCAAAAATTGGCTTGGTGTGCTCTCTCTCAAAGAATTTGCTCGTAAGTTTCTGTTCACTGATAGGTCTAGTCCTAGCACATGTCATAAATTTATCAAGGTATGCTTTTTTGTCACCAAACATGATACGAACACACTTTTTCTGGGCTACAAATAGTGGTTGAAGTTTATTATTACTTGCACCTCCCCAAACGGTAATGCCATCAGATAGGTGACTTTCAAACAGTGTGTGGTACAGGTCCTTATGGATAGATGATGGAATTTTATCCTTAATCATGTACAGCCTCCCAGAACAGGACGAGAGTTTTCTAACTAGTTTGTCTCTATAGGGATTGAAAGTTAGGCCTTCGTCGACAATTACTCCCAGGAATTTCGTTTCCTGCACCTTTGAGAGAGGTAGGCCGTTGAGGTAAAGTCTGTTTTCAGTTAATAAAGATTGCTCATCAAGTTTTCTTTTAGCTGTATTGAATTCTATATAGCAACTTTTCTTGGCGTTAACATGTAATTTATTAGCCAATGTGTACTCGTGGACTGATCGTAGGACCCTATTTGCATTATTGTAGGCCTCTGCTCTAGTTTTGGCAACTACAAATATGTTTGTATCATCAGCAAATAAGACATAGCTAGTGTTATCGAGTTGAGAGTTTGTTAAGTCATTTATGTATATTAAAAACAGGAGAGGCCCAAGGCAGCTCCCCTGTGGAACGCCATAGAGAACAGGAAGTCTGTCTGATACTTCGCCCACACACTGCTCTCTGTCCGACAAGTAACTTTCCAGTAACTTAAGTGGCACTCCTCTAATCCCATATATTTCAAGTTTCTCAAGCAAAATTGTGTGGTCTATTGTGTCAAAGGCCTTGCTTAGATCAATAAAAATTCCTAGAACATGAAGACCTTGCTTTAGGGCCTTTTGGATGTGAAAAACTGAGTAGTTAAGTGCATGTGATGTTGAGTGACTCTTTCGGAATCCGAATTGACTTTCATGAAGGATTCCTTGACTAACCAAGAAGCTGTAAAGACGTTGGTATATTATCTTTTCAAAAATTTTACCAAAAATTGGAAGTGTGGAAACAGGCCTGTAGTTCTCAATCAGTTCTTCGTTATCTTTTTTGTATATTGGGGTTATTTTACCAAGCTTCAGAACTGACGGAAATATCCCTTGAGATATTAGGCAATTAAATTGAACAACAAGAGTTGGGCTAAGAATACCCGATAGTTTTTTGATAACTCTTATGAGAAAGTCGCTGGCTTTCCCACTCTTCAAGTTGGCTATAATCTCAGAAATTTCATCTTCACTACAGTCATGGAAGTAAATTGAATCGAGAGTTTTTGGTGGCATGAATTCGAGGAAATTCAAACATATTCGTTGTTTGTCCTTTATTATTAATGAGGATTAGATGTTGAGGGGTCCTGTTAAAAGATCTTGAATTTTGTTAAGGTACCAGCTTGATCGACGATGTCAACCCATCGAGATCGTTGATGCGAAGCAAGAATCGTTCGAAGTCCTCCAAAGTACCAGCTAGAACATGTATACAGGAATGTATAATATATCGATCTATGATTTACAATTTTACCTTTTCAAATTTTGAAAGGACTTTTAGCCTAGCTTGCATTAAAGAAACATATGACAAACAAAGAGTATAAAAATTACAAACTCTTGATAAACTCTAAGAAATAATCAATATTTAATTTCTATTTCCTGTTAACTACATGCGACCTAACCTGCGTTACCAGTAGATTAGACTGGATACAGTCTACTCAAAAATAAAAAACTCTAACTTTCCCATGCTATATTGAAAGATCTTTGAACTTGTAGGACACTCTTTAGTAAAAAATTAAAGGAAACACTAAATGTCAAGCATTAATTATTTTACAATATTCATTGTATTAATAAATAATGCTGTGTATTTGTAGGAATGTTACTAAAGTAGAAGAAGACACATCAAAGCTGACATGTCATTTTTGTTACCTGCCTCACCGCAAGCGGTATCAAATGGAAAGAAAAAAGTAGCTCTTAAACCTGGACACGGCTTGATGGATTGGGTAAGGTTCAAGAGTAAGATTCGACCGTCACAGCCACAAAGAATTACTCAGCAAGAACTTGGACTTCACAATAAGCTTGGAGATGTGTGGACAGCTATAAATGGTAAATGGTAAATGTTGTTGATAGTAATTACTTTGTCAAAATGCAAGAAGTTTATGCTTTTATTACTAAAGATAATGACAATTTTAAGGATTAATCTTTTGATTCTCTCTTCAGGTGCTGTTTATGATATTACTACTTATGTTGACTATCATCCTGGAGGTGCTGAAGAATTAATGCGAGGAGCTGGCATTGACTCGACAGATTTGTTTAATGAGGTTCATAAATGGGTAAATTTCCAGAACATGCTAAAAGAATTCCTTGTTGGATATTTAGTACAGCAACCAAAGACTACAATATTAAAGGTTCCTGGCCAAACCTCACTTACGGTGCCAGGCAGCGGCAGTCAAACGTCGCTTACAGTTCCACACAAGAAACCCATTGTTACTGGTCCATTACTTCCTCCAGCTCCAAAGTTCTCATACGACAGCTATCAAACAGAGAGATGTTTTACTCTAATAGTTTATGGAAAGATAGCTATGTCAAATAAAATCAGGCGCTCTTTCTTTTATGGAACTATCAGCAAAAAGGCAATAAGAGTCTTCATACATTGTCTAGATAGAAAATTTTTGCTTGACCTTCAATTGTTTGCAGAATTTCAGAAGTTTGAAATAAGGAATAGCAATCTCAAGTTTGAGTTAGTAATTCACAAACAGCAAGAAAAACTGTGGCCCAGCGAGGGAACTCATCTATCAAATTCAAAAACCACTTACTCTGAAAAATTTAACAATCTTGAAAGTTTTGAAGTTTGTTGCACAGAAAATGTAATTGTAACCCATGACTCTAGGCTCTTAACATTCAAGTTCCTGAATGACTTTTATGCCATTCCTCCCTTGGGTTCACATGTTTTTGTTCAAAACCCTGACAAGAATTCATTGATCGACAAGAAACCATACACTGTGTATGATGTTATTGATCAAAGTACATTCCAACTTCTAGTAAAGCAATATGAAGAAGGTGTAATGTCAACTTACATGTGCTCTTTGCAATCCAACCAGACAGTAAAGATGCAAGGATTTGACCATTTCATTGATCTAAATACGCTTCACAAGAACAATAATATTGTTGTTCTGGCTGCTGGCACAGGTATCACTCCTTTTTACAGGATTATGAAAGAACTTTCAGCGAATAAGCTTTTCAAAGACCACACTTGTTCCTTGATGTTCTACAATAAAACACAAGAAGATATATTAGTAAAAGATCAGCTCAAGGAGTTGCAGGATAAAATTGTAAAGCTTGACATTAATCACATTCTCTCACAAGAGAGTTGGAGTGGACTTACTGGTCGAATAGAGCTGTTGCATTTAAAAAGGTTTTCTTCTGAATCTTTGTTTCTGATTTGTGGACCAAAACTGTTCATGGAGAAATCAGTGGCAGTTTTATTAGAGAAAGGTGTGAGCAAGTCAAATATGATTGAGTTCAATGGTTGATGTAAATATAGGCATATTGATTTTATATTGTTGTTTCAAGAACATCATTTATATGCGAATGATTTATAAACATTGAAAGGTTGAAATATCTTAGATTAAACCTTTGATTGAACAAGTGATCCTCTCAAAAAAAACCACACGAATATACATAATGTGTCACGGCTTTTACGTCGTTTCACATGTCGTGTGGTCTTCCAAAATATAAATAAAATCTTTAACTGTAAAAATTTATGATTCTGATTTAAGATGATCAACTGCATGTTGTCACAGCATTTTATTGTCTGTATCATTAAAAGATGAAAATTCTTGTGATATCAGCATTTGTTTAACTACAGTAGTTTCATTTATTCTGTTTAGTACCAGTAGATCCAATGATTACAATTTAGATATAATCATAATATTCTAGTCTTTTTATTTGTTGTTAATTTATAATTGAGCTGTATTATTGAATTAGTCATTTGTGCAGTGTAAATTGGTTGTAGATAATGACCCTCTGTATAACGAATTAAACACTGTTTGATCTTTGGTTTCATATGTTTAATATACTTTCTTATTTTTGTAAAATCTCTTTAATTTGACTCATTCAATCGATATATCAATATCATACATAATATTATACATTTATCTGATTTCAATGTTCCTTGCAGATAGGAGACAGTTTCAAAGTATGTCAGGCAAAAACGGTGCGATATTCTGCATATTTTGCAAAAATAGGGTTCCAATTGCTGAGTTTGCTGATCATGAAAAATTAGAACTACACCAAAATACCATCAAGGTGATTTTATGTATTCTATTATACTGTTTCAATGTGTTTTGATTCACATTGAAAAGATGATAAAGCTTAAATAGTTAATCGAATTATGTTAGAAAACTTGAAGATTTATTATGGAATGGTTTCTTTTTAGATTTTTATTATTACATATACCTACTAGTATTGATTATAAATTTGTTGTTATTATCAGGCAAAACTTGGAGACATGAGCATTGGCTCGATGATGTGCAAAGCCTGCGTGGTTCCCGTCAACTCAGAGGTCATTTGGAATTCTCACTCTAAAGGAAGGAACCACAAAAAACAAGTTAACTTTCTCAATAAAGTTAGTCAAACCTTGATAGCTTAACGATGAATTTTGTTTACTCAGTTCACATTTTTACTGTCGAAATTTGGATTACCGTAAAGAAATATTGATATTTTCGTCAACCATTTCTAAGTTTTTTATATTGATAATCTGGATATCAGTATGGCATAATTTTATCATCTTGAGTAAAGCACAATTGGAAGCAAACTAATGATTAACATATGAATTCTATCCACAGGTAGGGAAGACTGAGAAATACGAGCGCCCATTTAGTCTAATCGAATTTGATAAAGACAGCAGCGACCCAGTATCTGATAAGATGTTCTCAGTAGTTCCTGACCTGTTTGCTCCTATTATTGAGGATGCATCAAAAAATGAATCCACAACTCATACAGAAGCAGTGATATCAGACAATTTATCTTCAGTTCATAATACTGAATCCTCAGAAAAGTCTGCTGATATTTCAGAAGACGCCCCAACTAATGTCCTTGATACAAAATCTGTTACAGAAGCTGATGAAGGAAGCAAGGAATCTAAAGATGTTGTAAATTCTCTTGATCGTAGTTATGATAACAGAGGACAAAATGCTGTCAGAAAGGACAGACAACTTATATCTGAAAGAAGGCTGGAGGCTAAACGTCGCAACAAACCACCAATGTTTTTGCAAGAAGATAGAGGTATGCAGCCTAGAAGGGGGAGAGATATGGGTCATCACAGAGCAGAAGAGAGGATACGTAGAGAAAGAGAAGAACCAAAATATTATAGGGAACGAGAAAGAGAAGAAAGAGAACCAATGTATAAAGAAAGGGAGGATCGAAGAAATCGTAGTAGAGAAAGAGAAAGGAAAAGGAAAAGTAAGTGGGGAGATACGGAGAAGAAAATCAGCAAGAGTGATTACGAGAAAATAGCTGATGAATTTCTTAATAGTGGTGAGTCCAAAGATGAAGACATGAAAAACCTTGAGGTGGAAGCCGGTTCAGCAGTAATGAAGGTTAGCACAGCAGCTCCAACCACGATGCCACCCTTCCCTCCTCCACCTCTCTTTCCTCCCCCTAGTGCTATGTTCCCTAATATTGATCCATATGCTGGAGTACAGCCAGCATTTAATCCTCCTTCGTTTATGGGGATGCCTCCCATGCATAGAATGCCGTTTCCTCCTCCTCCTCCTCATATGTTCCCTATGCCTCCACCTGGTCTACCAATGCCACCATCCAGTCTTTCAATGCCACCATCCAGTCTTCCAATGCCACCATCCAGTCTTCCAATGCCACCATCCAGTTTTCCTCTACCTCCTGCAGGTCCAATGCCATCAACTAGTATGCCAATAACTTTATCAAAACCACTCCCACCTCCAGATGCCTTACCTGAGTCCCCTACACCAGCTTCTGATCTTGAGGATGAAGTTGATTATCCTGAACCCGAAGAAATTGTTGACAGAGGTCACATTGACAACACACCTAAACCTTCTGTTCCTTTCTTTATTGAACAAAGTGATGTTGAAATCTTTATCCCCGAATTCTTTGCTGACCGTTATGCTGAGCACCCACACAAGGGTGTTGTGAAAGCTGACCCAGAAGTAGCGTTATTTGAGATGATTGAAAAAGAAAAGAGGGCCAATGAACCAATTCCTGAGTCCATTCATCTCAAGATGAGTGCTAAACCAATTCTTGTTTTGAATGAAGATGTGAAGCCTTTTAATCCTGATGTCTATGAATCCTTGAAAGGACGGGTGCTGCCGATAATCAAACCTAATCAAAAGTTCGTTGTGATTGGTAAGTACTGTATGGCAACTAATACAAGAAATGTGTAGATGCTTTTAAAAAAATCTGTTTCTGTTATATAATTTATTGCCTATGCTGGTATTATATTTTAACTTATATTGGACATTAGCATTGTTTTTTACATTCTTTATGTTTCACAGTGGCCAACTTAAGTCTGTACAGAAACAATAAACATATGTCCTAAGCCCTAGAAATTAAATAATAAATTACAGGCAGCAACTGTTTGAAAGTCACTGGACCGAACCACTTTGTGTGTGACTTGTGTCAAGTCCAATTTAATGACGCCAGCAAGATGGAGCACTTATTATGTAAGTAGACGTTAAATATTTTTTCCCTAGAGTCTCATTATATGATAGTACAAACTGCTCATTTTATCTATGCAGTGAAATTATAAAACATTAGTGAATTACTAAATTTTAGACTGTTGTAATTGGAATAAGGGTCTTGAATCGTGCAAACTGTACTGTAGGTTTCATTGCTTTGTATAGTTCTGTAACTCTGCAAAACTGAATTGCAATTTCAATAATTTGTCTTTTAAGATTAAAATGGATTGTGTACTCGATTTTGTCTTGAAAATGTTTCTTTTGAATGTTTTCAGAGCAGATTAAAAGATACTTTCCTTTTTATGGTAAATTGTAACAGTTTTCGGTTAAATTGTTAAGGAATGAAATAGTTAGACAATATAAGATTATGTTTTTAATATTGATTTTATATCTGAGCTATTTTCAGCTAAACCTCATTTGTTGAACATCCTGTGGAATTGGGACCCCGACAGCGCGCAAATCATTAAAGATATTGAGTTACTCAATAAGAATTTGTTTGATAAGAAAGTAATGGAGGCAGCAAACGAGATACAAAAGAAGGAAATTAAGTTGTTGAGTGAACATCAGTTAAGAATAAGAGCCCGTATTCTTGACGAAAATGTCGATGATCAGAATAAACACTTTATCAAAAACGATGTTTTTGATCCAGCTAATTTCCCTGATCACGATTTTAGTTATCTCAACCAGGAAAAGGAAGAGGAAAGTGAGGATGATGAGGATGATGATGACATCTTACCAGATGACCCAAATAAGCCAAATAAGATGAAGATCCTAGAATCAGGAATCATGAACATGCTCAAATCTACTGACAAGTCTCAAGTTGTAAGTGATGAAGACACTGCTCTTGCAGCTCTTGGCATCTGCAAAAGTCTGATGCAGAAAATGGGAGGTCGCTTCAAGAAGTGCAAGCATACGCCCTCAGAAGAAACAGTCGATAAATTGAAAAAGGTGAAACATTTTTTCAATAATTTGCTAATCATCCAGCAGATATTGGATGTTTATCCCAGTACTGCATTGAAGGAGAATTCTTCTTCTGCCCCCTCAGGAAAGGAGCCTATCACTTCCAAGGTTGGTGTGCCACTACCCGCAGCTTTTACTCAGCCTGCAGCTTTTGCTGATTACAACGCTGGGTTTCAGAATCATAATTCTTCCCCCTCTACATCTGTGACCAGCGATCCTAGGAGATCGAAACAGGCTGATACAGGATACAGCTTGTATTCAACTAGTGTTGATCAAGCCGGCATTGAGTGGTACCGGCAAAATAAACTCACTTAGTTTAAGTGTTTTTACTTTTGATGATTTTAAACTTTTTAATAGTTGATCCTTTGAACTCTATTTAACTTCAATACGTTTGAATGACATTTTATATATGTTTTCCAAACTATTGAGATGCCTTTTTTGCCCATTTTGGCAAAGTCTTGAACCCATTTTTCCCCCAATTTTTCCCACTGAACAAACTTGTATTAATACTTTAATACCTCTGTTCAGTGGACCTACTAACTAATACGATAATATGTTTAAACATATTCGCATAATATATTATATATTCTTTTTGATTATGTTGACGAGATTCAGCGTGAAAGACTTATATCCTCCTAAATGTTCCTCGTGTCTCAAATTGTTGTAAAACTGAGAGGTGTTTTAGTTACTGTGGACCCTCCCTTTGGAATCAGCTTCCTTATCAATTGAGAACATTGACCGATATTGTCTTGCTTAAAAAGAGACTCATCTCTTTGAAAAAGTATTCATATAAGTATCATATAATATCTTTCTCATATATAGACCATACTTCATAAACTTCTAAGTTCTTAGTTATACATACATGTTCATAAGTCGCTTTAGATCCAGCTTAAAGTGAATCTTTGGATTTTGAGTTCTTTTTGGCTATAATCGCTTTTATAGTATAAAGCGAAATTTATAGTTATTACAGGGTGGGCCAAAAGTCAGTGGGCATACGTTGGCCTTAATAGCTCAGTCACTGAGTGCCCAATTGAAATAATTCTTTATGGTATGACTTACTACCACCACTGGTTCGAGGAATTTGTCAAATCGAAAAATATTCGAGCTCTTTTTTTTCAAATGAAGATACATTTTTGCATTCGAATTACGTTTGTCCTGAAAAAATTAGAACTGTAGCTTCTCAAATGACCGAAATGTGAAGCATAACGAGTTTATTCATTACGTGTGATCAGGTGATTGGGTTACCAAATCACGTGATTAGGTGACCCCGTTAACCACCCCGTTAAACATTATGGGAATTGTTAAGGGTGCCCAATTAAGGTGTTGTGTCACATCATCATCCAATCAATTTTGTTAACGAGATACAGAAAATGATTTATAACTTCGTCATTTCTGATCCGTTTTGCCGGCCCATATCCAAAAACCCGCATTCTCGCATTCTAAGAATGTAGGAAATTTTTAAAAGTAGGAAATTTTTGACAAAAAGTAGGAAATTCGAGAGCCAACTCTGAGAATTTTCGATAATATTTCAGTAGGAATTTAAGTGAAAGAGCAGACTAAAAGTTGCTGGACCGTTATTCAAATGTCCTCAGTCAGGGATCCACTGATCCAGTCTATTAAATTTCGTTTCACAGACCAAAGTTTGTTGCTATTAGCTACAAAATCTGTGCATCAAGTAACCACTAACCAGATGCTAATTATTGGGGCATTTTCGCGTACACGACATAAATAGTTGTCATTATTACTTTATTAACGTTTTACTATCTACTTATCTAGTCTATGAAACCGGATATGTCTACAGTGTCACCCGATATCTGTATTGGCAAGCAGTAGCATATACACATCACGTCTTCAATGTGTGTATCACACTGCACACACCCAGCCCAAATTCGTGTGGCTTGAGAAAATATCAGAAAAACAGGGCGTTTTAACTAATCTGTACGATGATGCTAGAATGGGCGTGAGAATTGGACTTTTTCTAGTTTTTTAATTACTCTATCTTATTTAAATAGTAAATACTAATAGTCATTATTATATTTTTGGAAAATTTAAATTCCTTGTTTCTTGAATATTTGGTCTCATACTTGCTTCCTTCTCCAAATTCCCTTAACCCTGTATTAGTTTATAGCTTGAAAGCAGAAAGTGATGGTAGTAGATGAGAAAACATTTTTGCCAAAATTATAAACTCTTGATACTTCATGCTGTCTCCTATTTCGTGCTTTAGTTAAGCCAAGTGTTTAGGGATTCTAGAATCCAGACAATTTATCCCAATAAAAATTGAAATCAGAAAATAGTATGCTAAAATCGTTCTCCATTGTCAGATTCGTTCCAGGAGGCCAAATCTAGTTTAAATTTCCAAAATTTTCGGGGGCTTCGCCCCCAAAAGTAACCTAGGATTATCTATTAAAAAGCATTCCGGGCCCTAAAAAAGTAAAATTGAGAATTTGGAATCCGCCATGAAAAATCTTTGAACCGCGCGAATACAAAGACTTTTTATGCGAGCGAAGCGAGTGGGCCACAGAAAACGAAAAAATTGAGAATGTAGGAAATTAAAATTTTTTTGGATATGGGGTTTTGCGTCATGTTTTCAGATCATATGCAACACTTAATAATCTACCGTCTCTGAAAAAAGTCAGGCGTTCAGCATGTTCAGAGAAAACAATTTATGTGTTTTAATATTGAATGGGCTGGTCTAAAATATTCAAATTTTGACGACGGAATCCTCGAACCAGTAAGTACAGTATGCCATCTGCAAAGCAACAGCTCTCAAATATAAAGCACGGCCGAGCTATTAAGGCCAACTTATACCCACTGACTTTTGCATTGGCCCACCCTGTATTATTATTATTATATATGATAACTACCTACAAGCTGTGTGGTACAGCCATCATAAAATGCATGAAAGATGATTACATTTTTTAGGTTTATTTTTTGAACCTAATAAGAATTAGGAATTATTTGTGCTGATATAAAAATCTGTCATTTAAACATGTTTTTAAGATCATTGAACTATTTATTATCACTGTTGTATGATTTGATTGAAATTACTCACAAAAAAATGTATATTATAAATAATTTCCATATTATAAAATCACTGCTTTAAGGTTGTATTTTCCGGTCGGTTTACACAGGTATCAAGCTTCTCATTTTTAAGTTCCATTCAGATTCTCATTTGTAAACAGCAACTACTCCTTCATAATATTTGTATATATTAATTATTCTCCTACAGACTACCGTCTAGAAAAATGTAGGCAATCATTTCCGTTAACTTGTTCCATGGTACTATTACTAACATAGCTACTATCGTAAAGCTTTATTGCTTTCATACGGCACAGATAACCTTAACTTTGACTGTGAAGATTACTGTGTACGCTAGTTACGGCCTAAGCGGTATACAAATAAAGCGTTATTATTATTATTAGTTTTAGGGGTTTTTATCTGAGGCCAGGTTTAGTAAGTGAGTTGCTTCGAGTGCAAGGTTTTAGGCTAATTATAAGAAGGTGAAGACTGAAGCATAGGATCTGATCATAGCAGGCACATATCCAGTTAGCAGGCACATATCCAGTTAGCTGATAACATTGAATATAGAGATTCACTTCAAAACACCGTCGACAACATCTCCAGTGAGACGGGTCACGCACAGACTCAGGTAGCGGGGCTGGCTATATCATCACTACTGATGATATATATTTAGATGGCTTGAACTGAATCTTTTGAGTTCTTTTCGGCTATACAACGATGTACACATTTCTAGTTTAATTGAAATTATTATTATATATTCCATCATTATATTATGTCGAATTTAAGATTTAACACTTTCTATTAGGATACAAATCCTGATAATAAGAATTTGTATCCTGGAAAGTTTTGCAATCTAAATTTTTGTAATCCAAACATTGTATAATGAAATATTGATGAATTCTGGATATATCATCATCACAATAAAGCTCCAATTTAATGTTCTCCAATTTACCATAAACCCCGAATTGTTCATACACCATCGCATTTCTCTTTTCCCGCTTTTTCTTAAACCCCAAGGAGGCGAAGGCTAAATCCAAAAGGATTTAATGTTTCATCTATTCTGGTGCAGACTGCAGGCCCCTGACTATCTGAACGTTTTTACCGGCCTCATGAAGATCTCATGAGGCCTGTTACACTTGAAGAAATGCAAGTGTATACCATATCCGTTTTTCCCCTAGAGGCTCCAATCACCGAACGTGCAATCTTTAGATATCGACCTCTAGAGGCTCCAATCACCGCAATCTCTAGATATCGACCACTGTTGAGTTATTGATGGGCCTTCTTCCACCCGACAAATAAGGAATTTTAAAATGCCTTAAGGAAACGAAGTACACAACTGAGTGCTTTTGCTATCCATTTTCATCATTTATCGATTGATCCCGTGTTTTAGATGCATAAACTTTGCGATCAGCAATGGTTTTAGTATCTCACTTGGGTGCTATCCACAATCAGGTAACAGGCTCCTTTCTGGCGCATCTTTCAGTGCCGCTGAAAAAAAGCAACTTACTTGAATTGAGAAATAACTGGAATTGAGATTGAACATAAAGAAAATACCAGGTTGGCACCCCTTATTTCAGTTTCACTATATTAATTGAAACGGGTACTTCCCAAATAAGAAATCGTATTTATTTTGTGACAGAGCTCATGCATTATTTCGGGATGTCAGCACTTTTGCCCTTATCTTGATTTATAAATACTAGCAGGAACCCGTCTTACTATAAAGTAATGTCAAGACTCAAGAGACTAAAATAATTATTACCTATTTAATTCGCGTTTTTGACACCACTTAGGGGTCCCAATTTTGGGCACTAAAATTCTTATTCCTTGGCCAATTTTTTATTTTTTCATACTGATTTGAAGGCCATTAAAGCATTTGACCCAGTCAAAAAGTTTCAGTTGTATATCTTTTACGGTTTTTGAGGAAAGTCCCGTTAAAGTTGATGCCGTGGTGTCAGTAAAATGGCACGGAACCATATATATCGTCTCGCTTTATATATAGTAAGATGACAAATATACTACAAAAATACTAACAATGTGAGTTGTATAATATAATTGTGAAATGTGATATCCCTCAACAATTCAACAGGAAGAAATTGTATTATCTTAAAACATTTACATTACGTAAAACGTTCTGCCAGCAGCTCTAGTAAATGGCAGGGAACTTCTGGAAGTCCTCCCACTATGGCCAATGGATCATATCGGAAGAGCGGGTGCTTGAGGGACACGAGAGAGATTCCAAGTCTTTGTCTGTTGATGACGTCAAGAAACTTCATATTTTCTTTGCCAATTTTATTCAGGTAAGCTAAAACTTCAGCGCTCATAGCTGAGGTTCAAGCTGGACCATTCCCTTCTTTTTCATTTCAATTTTACATTGATATTGTTGATTGTTGCAATATTTATGATATTCATTTATTTTTAATATAATTAATTAGTTGTTTCTTCCAGGCACTCGGGGAAACGAACAAACTAAGACAACAAGTCATAGCCACAGCAACAGTGTACTTCAAAAGATTCTATATCCTCAACTCCTTCAAAAGTATCGACCCTTTTCTAATGGCCCCCACTTGCATCTTCCTTGCTTCTAAGGTTATTAATTCTTCAACGATTGCTTTAATACTTTATACCAAGATATTGCCAGTGTTAATTATTACTGTTGATCGTTTAATTTCGTACACTCAAGAAAATATAATCAAATCGGTTTTAACACAGGATATTCATTATCGGGATTATCCAACATTAACACAATTACCAACATTCCTCTCCATAACCAGGTGGAGGAATGCGGACCTATACCCATACAGCGTCTCATAACTGTGTGCTCTTCTCTAATTAAGAGCAAGTTTAATTTCGCCATGACAAACGACTTTTTGTACAGGTTAGTTTTCACTGAGATCTTTATTAGAACATAAATAAGAGTTTACATATTATGCTGCTTACTTATACTCTATGGTGGTTCTGTCAAGCTTCCTTATTGCGTAAATATCAGAAAAATAAGGAATTAAAATAAAATATTGGAAGTAAGATGAGTTTTATTGAGCTAAGAGTTTGTAAGATGAGCTTAGAGCTTGTAACAACACCTTACACGTCATTAGTATGCACCAATGTCATTATATGGTTTAACTGCCGTGTTTTGGTTCAGCCGAAATAGATTTTACAAATGTTTTCCATACATTTGTCTCACTCTTGCGCCAGCTGCAGTCTAGTAGTGTCGAGTTTCATGTATATTTCTCTAGCCGTCATGAATTATTCTGTTGCCTAATTCAAGTACATATTTTGGTTTAGTGTGAATGTAATTGAGTAATTGTAATACATTTATGTAAAATTTATTTGAATTTTGAAATTTAAAAAACGTCCTTTCAGGCCACAGCACGTGCTGGAATGCGAGTTTTACTTGTTGGAGATGATGGACTGTTGCCTGATAGTTCACCAACCGTACAGACCCCTCACTACCTACGCTGAGTCTCTTGGCCCTGAAGTAAGTCACTTTAGTGTGTACAATAGAGTCCTGTGCGGTGTAATTTAGATTGTGGTCACACTCACGCCTTATTGACTACGGTACAAAGTGAACTTATTGTATGGTATTGTTGTAGATGAAAAGCTCGAATATAATAATAGGCACAATGCCGACTGGCTGTTAGAAATAGATCTCGCCATGTAACATGTAACATGTTAGAAATAGCCCTCTAACAGCTGGTTGCCAGTGTACCTATTTACCATAGTATAGATATTATGTATTATAATAGTTTCTGTACTCTGTACGGTAGTAAAGACATCTTAAGATAATATTAGATATAGTCTCTATACTCTGCACTCAGCTCTATGCGATATTGTAAATGATAATATTGAATATAGTGTAACCCGGCCTACTCTATAGCCAGTGTAAGTGAATGTTACTCCCTCCTGCATGTGGAATGTGAATGTTACATCATCTAACCCTCTTCACACAGGTGCTAAACACGGCGTGGCACATAATAAACGACACATTGCGTTGTGACATCATCCTAACCCACCCTCCCTACTTGATAGCCCTGTCGGCGCTGCACATGTCTTCTGTTATTCACAATAATGATAACGCTATGAAGTGGTTTTCTGAACTTACTATAAGGTTTATTTTAAGGCAACGTTGTTTTTTGCTATTTCTGGGAATTTATATCGATTTAAAAAATCTTGTTCTGCTTTCAGTTTTGTTGCATTTATTTTATTCAATCGTGCGAGTAATTTCCACAAACTACATACAGTATTACATAGTATCCGGGAATATCTATTCTTAAAAACGGTGTTTTAATAAAATATAATGTGTTTCAGTATTGAGAAGATAACACAAGTTTCACAACAAATTATACAATTGTACGAACTGTGGCGAGGTTTTGAGGAGAAGAAAGAAATTCCGGGTGAGTTTCTTTGAGGAGGACATTTGTTATTGCTTACGAAATTATGTAACGTTGCTTTGATGTGGTTCAATTTCGTAAAATAATCGCATTCTGATCAAGAATTGCAAGCATGATTACTTAATATATAATTTGAATAATATGGTAATAAGTTCTCTGTTAAACCGAATAACTGTTGTCAGGTATTTTATTCCGGATGCCACGTCCCAGAATGTCCCACTCAGGAAGTCTAGCCGGGTCCAGATGTTCCACACCCAGTGGGATGAGGTGACAAGACTAGACACTACTGGAAACTAATTAACTAATTAACTAATTATAGATTGCAAAATCCACTGAAAACTCTTTACCATTTATGTAATTATAAATCGTTTGATCGGGGGAATTACATGATTATATTATGTTAATTTCGACCAGGATTTAATCCAGATTGTGTTTCGTTGTAATGTAAGGAGAGAAATAGAAGGAATTTTCTATGATCAGAATTTTAGCGAAATGACTAGAATGTGTTCTTTTATGTCCATCCGTTCAGTTCCAAACGTTGATAATCCTCGATATATGTGCGTCACATGATGTAAGCTGCAACATCTGCTGATTGTTTTTAGAGGCTTAAACCTTGAACTACAATTTTTGGAAAGCTAACTTTTATAAAGACTGATAAAATTGAATTAAGACTTCGCGAGGGATATATCTATAACTTGAACTAAAACTTTGTTTAATTATACTGAGGGAACTGTGAGAATAATATAAATATTGGAATTACGGCCAGATCGATGATATATTTATAATGGTATTTGGTAAATGTAAAAACTTGAAACTGTACATTCCCGAGAGTTGCTAGACTCAAATTCACAATTGTTAACATACACGGTGTCTTATTTGTATTTGATCTTTCTTCGAAAATGCTTTTAGATTGATCTGAACGCCGCATAGTTCTGGATTCGCATGTTGACTTGAACTGATTTATCAATTTTGTTTTCTGAAGTGCCTCTGTGAGATATTTGAAAATGAGATACAATTTTAAATGTATTTAAAAACATTAAGCAACTTATACGATTTGATTTTGTAATATCTTAATAGCATAATTTACATTGCAGAATATGGCTGAAAGCGAGTCATGGTACGACATCACACTAGAAGAAGAACTAGAAAAGGAAAGAAAGAGCAGCGTGTCTTCTCTCAGTCTAATTAATGTTTCTTCTAGCAACTTCATCTTGCACGAGTCAAGACGAGGGTTTCCTGTGTTATCTCCACTAAAAGAAATAGACAGAACCCTTGAGTTGAAAGAGGAAATGTTAGCTAATGAACATTTTGAGGAAGAAATGTTATCTAAAGAGGAGATGTTGACCCCGAAGAAAACAAGGCTGGGTCCTCGGGCCTCACAGCGACACTCCTCGCATGAGGAAGACGAAAACATGGCCGCAGCAGTTAATCCTTCACCCAGGAGGAAAGTTAAAATAGAGATGGTGGAAGGATCTCCACTCTCTAGGGATACAAACTGCCGACTAGGTCCCAGATCAGATATGGTGGAGGGATCTCCAGTCTCCAGGAATGTGAAGAGCAGGTTAGGTCCCAGAGCTGCGAGTAGACATGGTGCCGTGACACCAGAACATATTGGAAACAAGAGGCACTTTGCTCGGGACTCTCCCCGAGCCTCCTCGTGGGACTCCCCTCAACGTGACACAGATCACAAGGACAAAAGACACAGAGTGGGCACACCAACCCGAGACAGAGGCACACCAAACCAAGACAGACATATCTTCAGTACACCAGAGCCTATCAGGAACATCAAGAAGAGAGACAACGGCAAGTTCAAGACTCCAAACTCAGATTCCAGGTTGTACACCAAAAAGAGCCAGACTAACAGAGACCGGTTATCAGGAGCTGGCAAGGACTTGTTTGGTAATACCCGGAAGAGAGGAAAGAGTGAGAGCGTTAAAGAAAACGACGAGCCACTCAAGGCGTTGACAGAGGAACAAATAGCAAAACGTGAAAAACAGGTGCTGTATGGCAAAGTAACAGACGGTTACCAGAACTACAAGTCTATCATTCCCAAGGGTTTGAGGAACATCAGGGACCCCGCAACCCCCAGGAAGGATTATCCGTACAGTAAGCGTTGTTGGGATGGGTTGGTGCGCAGTTGGAGACGTAAGCTTCATGAGTGGGATGAACCTAGTGTCGCGCTGGGTCTCCGTGCGGCGTACACTAAAAACAACAAAGATCTGAAAGACAGTGGTTTAGTTAACAATGCAGGTGAACTGGTCATGTTCACCTCCTCCGAACCTGCAGAGGAAACAAACGAGACACCAGAAGAAGAAGAACCAGTATCCCAACCAGCTGAGCCCGCCACCTGGGACATCCCCCAGTTTCGGTACCCAGCTGAGGACGACACACAAAGCCAGGACAGTGAGTACACCAGGCTGCTGGGCAACAAGGATGATGAGGACGACACACAAAGCCAGGACAGTGAGTACACCAGGCTGCTGGGCAACAAGGATGAGGACGACACACAAAGCCAGGACAGTGAGTACACCAGGCTGCTGGGCAACAAAGATGATTTCCCTGATGACTCGGACGACTCAGACGGCTCATATCATCTGTCACAGGACAGCCATCTGAACGAGGAGCTGTCCCAGGAGGGGGAGATGATGGATTGCGAGGATGAGACTGGAATGAGAGTTGGGGATCAGGAGTCTTGTAATCGCACTACTGTTTGTTAGCATCTGTGGTATCAGTTACAGATACAGTTATTTAGGTCGTTTCACCTCGTTTGATACTTTGGGTAAAGATTTGTTAAATTCTTGTTGTGACACTTTTTATCAGATTTTATAATATAGACCCACGAGCAAGGACATCAATCGATTTACGACCGCTCAATCTTTTCAAATTAATTAATATTTTAACTGTATTTATGTTGATTTAAATTTATTATAATCTGTACCAGACGTACAGTCCATCGCATGTTAATAAAACTTATTATATTAACAATCGGTGAAATCTGTTATTTGTTAAATTTGTGTTTAATACAGCACCGTTTTGTAAATGTTTGGTCCACCCCATTCAAAAGCATGTTTTCTCACTTTTTTTAATGCTTTCTAAAAGTGCGACCAGTCTCACTGCATGTACCGTCAACTGTGACGTATGAAGGTCATCTGACCCATAAGTGACTAGCTGTAATTCATCGTGGCTTCAAGGGCTAGCTGTTATCAATTTACAGCGAGTGTAACGGACGGTGTATTTTTCGTCCGACATTATCTGTAGTTGGACTCGTTTTTCGTCCAGGATTATTTGTTACAAAGTTACGTTTTTATTATTTGTTTGGTTTATATTCAACAAGTTATTATTTCAATTCAATACCATTTGATATTTTACTGAATCGATTGCAGCAAATTATAGAAATAGTTCAATACAGTCAAACATCTCTATACCGGGCCTCTCTATACCGGGTATCTCTATTATATACCGGGCCTAGCCTCTTATTTTCCCCCAAACTCTAAGTTAATTAGCTCGTTTTGTGCAAGAAATGTAATTTATCATAGCTCATATCGCATTTGGCACACTTTCGTTTCCCCGAGAGACCCGGTATAGAGAGGTTTGCCTGTAGCAATACTCTTGAATATGCATAAATATCGAATATCGATGACTTGAGTTAATTACAAATTTAACTTTAACGATATGTTGCACTTTGAATCATTCAATTACCAAATATTATATTTCCGGCTAACAGTATTTCTTTAGAAAAGTCATGGTTACAATGACACCAGTTTCCTACATCAAGCGTAAGTAACACTCTACTTTATTCATTTTGCAAAAATCTTTAGCCGGTAATGTAAGTCAGTTGAGACCAAAGTATAAAATTGCAGTGACGAATGATCTCGCACTTACGAATGATCTCGTACTTACTTTTTACACGAGACTTATCTCAAACTAAATCTCGTGTAAAAAACTCCATGTCCAAATCTATCTTTTACATAAAATTTTGGGATCAGGATCTAAATGAAAGTGGGATAACTATTTCGAATACTTTCGGACTCTTATGATTAATTAATTAATTAATGTCGGAGGAGCAGGTTTTTTGTCTCAACTCGAGCTGTTCAATATAGTGCAACCATTATAATGTATGCAGCATTATAATGGTACACTAAATATTTAGTGTATTTTTCAAAGTATCCTAAAATGTTCTGGAATATTCGTTCTTTGATTTCGTTTGCGTTCCGGAAAGATGGACGAGATGTGGAATAACCTACGCTGTTCCTCGACGAGATCTGTTAAACTGGTGTTTCAGGATTACCTTCCAGTTTCATTAAGATAAATCCTAATTTTGGGTTTCAGCGAAAGTAATCTTTAGTAAGATTGCAAATTTCGTGGGATGAACAAAGTTTTCGAAAACTTCGTTATCACAATTCAAAAAAAACACATTGTTCATCTCCTGTCAATCTGTGTATTTTTCAAATTGTCAATGTTTCAGTTAATGTACTTTTCAGGGAAGACTTTGATTATTTGTAATGACACGAGTTCATTACAGGACGAATATTGGAGAGAAGGAAGTTGACAGTACATGTTGGAGATTGAGGACGACTCAAGACGATCCTGCTAATGACGATGTTGTCCTTTGATTTGCTCGTTGTCGTTCAATTGTTAAGGGATTCGCTGTTTGTGTCCAGTTTGCTAGAACATGCATCGAGATTCATTCGTTCCATTTAGCAAACTTTGTTTAGAAGGTTCCACTATTGTATTGAATATATTTTACCTAAAAGAGGGCTTGATGGCCGATGGCGAACTGCGAAGGGCAAGGTTACGCTAGGAAGTCTAGCAGACATAGCACATAATAGACTTTATGCAGGAGAACTTAGCGCCGCGCGCGAAGATATTTTTTCATGCCGCGTCACTCCTGTTAGTTTAATATGTTTGAGTCGCACAGCAGTTCATATCCCTCTTTATTTCCTAGAGAAGTGCCAAATTTGGGCGGGTCCCGACGAAGACCGGAAATAAGGTGTGCCTGAGGCCGATGAGAAAATAAACTCTTCCTTTAACTCACTATGTCTCAACTAAAATCTCGGACACTGACCATACAGTCGATTTTGTAGTCCGTGTTTTCGCGCAAATATAATACGTCACTCTGATTTGTCATAAAAATAATTATCCACATATTAATTGATATTACCCTGGATTCATTTCCTTAAGTGCCATGTTAATATGAAAACGTGATACCTTATAAATCGTAGAATAGGGCAGGTGTCTAATTAAATTATACCAAATGTCGTTTGCAAATGCGCCTTAATGAATATTCGGGAAAATTCATTAGACCCACATCAGGTTTCAACGTATTTCAGATTATGCCATATTAATCTGAAATACTTCACCCTTATTCCTACCTTGACTGGAATCTTCTGATCTCAGGTTATGGTCTAGCACTCCCTGAATCATGCAAGGAGTCCGTCCTAACTTCAGCTGCACGGTGTGCCACACCCAGTATGATGGTCTGTACGACTTTAAGGGCCATCTGGAGAGTCAGGAGCACGAACTGGCTTACGGTATTCGGCTGAGAAACAGCATGGTTAGTCCATTCTTTCTATTGTGGAGAAGTTTTTCGTTCTATCAATCATAAAGTAGTATCTCTCTGCAGGACCTGCAGTGCAGGTCGTAATTACTTGGTTTATGCTAGTGCGAATGATATTTTATATCAAATCAATCAATATATAGGTTCTCATACTAATTTATAAAATTCCCTCAGGTGGGTTCCTACTTTTGTAATTGCTGTCACATTTGTGTTAATACCCTGTTGATATGGAAGAGTCACATAATGGGCACCAAGCACATGAAAATTGCGTGTAAGTAGTTGTATAGTAGTTACCACTTACGCCCATAATCTTTAAGGTTATCTCAATTTTATATACTTGGCGTTAAATTGTTAAATGTGTTGCATATTGATCAATAACTTATAAAATTTGATGCACATACTCTCAATTGGTTATTTAAGGCACCCACAGCAATCACAGATAATCGTCATACATTTTTAAATAACAGGTGCATTTTCTATGGCGTACTCTAACTTCGATTTTGACAAACCTGCCAAGATAAAGGACGTAGGGGTTCTGGATCAGAACGTCGTTGTGCCTGAGTCGCTCCAGCGATCTAACGGACGACCTAGCGCTCTGGTATGTTTAAATATCGCCGGCAGGCATGCAGTTCTACAAACAATTGAGCATTTTATCTCTGCCAATTGAATGCAAAGTAATTCGTGAAGGAAAATGTCGTCAAACTTGAGTTTTAAAAAAACTTAACGTCTGACAGGTGCGGTCAATTGATCCTGATACGCTGGTGATAGGAGTAACAGACATGGTCTACACAGGACCAGGGCTCTACCACTGCAACCTCTGTGATGAACCCTTCAATGAGGGAAATAAAGCTCAACACCTCTGCTCGACCCGGCATCGCTGCAATGTGGGTTATGTGCACTAAGATGGTTTAATATCATATCGAGGATAATCGCGGTCTAGTGCATGTACTGTTTTTAAGTATTGAGATTGGTTCATCTACACGGTTGTTTAACAGAATTTGGGATTGTTAAAAAGTGTAATTCATTCAACACCAGGTATTTAAACGCTGGGATGCAGCCCTGTACGAAGAAGCTATGTCGATAAAAGAAGTGGGAAAGCCCGAATATTCTGCGAGGTGTGAGTCTATCGCCTCAGAGATCTTCCCAGTCGAACAGCAAGTTCTCAGCAAGGTAATTAGTTACCATAGTTACACTACTAGTTACCATAGTTACACTACTAGTTACCATAGTTACACTACTAGTTACCATAGTTACACTACTAGTTACCATAGTTACACTACTAGTTACCATAGAAAGCCCGAATATTCTGCGAGGTGTGAGTCTATCGCCTCAGAGATCTTCCCAGTCGAACAGCAAGTTCTTAGCAAGGTAATTGTAAATCCTAAAGTGCGAAATAATATTGACTTATATCAACATTTACTATTCTCCTCTTACTAGTCTCCATAACTGAAAACAAAAATGTCATAGATTTTTATTTGGTATTTAAATTTTCGTGCTTTGTTTTAAATATGATCTAACGCTTCATGAACTATCAGGAGCAGAAACTGCTATACGAGCGTCTGATGGGAACCAGTTCAGTACTAGACGACCAGTATCTAGCGGAGGAGCAGGCCCGAGCCAATCCTGGAGCTGCAGCTAACCCTCGACCTCACTCCCAGGTTACATTAGATTGAGTTATATAGAGTCGCCGCTTTTTTCATGGAATTCATGCTTTTATCATTTGTCCTATAAGGTTTAATTTTGCTACTCTGAACTCTTGGAAGCTTAGGATAGTACAAAAATGATAGTTTTGTAAACGTTTGTAACACCAGGGCCCCAGACGACCGAGAGACTATGACCGGGCAGTCTCCCACGAGGGCTATCGACCACCTGATGACTACCAAGGTCCCCCAATTAAGTACGAAGAGCCTCATTACAACCAGGACCGTTATGAACCACCGGCTGAGAGAGGACGGCCAGGCCCCCTGCCTGGTAGATATGGGTACAGAGAAGGTGGGCGTGGAGGCAGAGGAGGCAGAGGAGGTCGAGGCGGCCGGGAGGGCGACTTGTATCATAGGTAGGCGGTGTTACTATTTTTCCATTTAAATCCTTTGACCGAAATTACTTTCGCTATTTGCTTGCCTGCGTCTCACATTTTAGAACATAATTTTGGTTTTCTTACCCCTAACTCTCAGGGACCAAGGGAGATACCAAGATAACTCCCGATCTAATCCCCCTCTTCCTCCTCCTCCACCTCCGCAACCTCCGAGACAGGTATGGATTGGGACTAATTTTGGTTTAATAAACAGATACAGTCTTCACCTTTCTGAATTGTTATGATTTTAGTGCTGTTTATAATTTGATTCCAGTTTTTATTGAAAAATTTGTTGCTTCATACATTTTAACTCTATCACTTCGAGATGGCAGGGCCTACTCTCATGGCCTTAACTCTATGCTCTATTAATATTGCAGGTATCAGTAGATTCAGATATCAAGTGTGACCTAGCCATGGAGACCGTTCGTGTTCTCCTCCAGGGCATGAACACCTTTGTTTCTGAAACCAGGACCACTGCTATCACACGTGTCGAGGTTCTCAAAGCGCAAATACTGTATGAGGAGGTGGGTTACAGTTAAAATAGTTTGTTCATTCTTCCCAGTAATCAGGGACAAAAGGATTTCGCGATTATTTTGGCCAAAAATCGCGATACCGCGATTTTTAACAGGCTATACATTAAACTATACATAAAATTTGTCGCAAATAATGGGGAAAATCGCGATTTTGTACATGCCGCGATTTCCTTGTTCCTGTCCCAGTTGGAGTGAATTTCCCATGAAAAAATGAAAGTCGTAGCATTTAAGTTTATGGTCATGACGCTTTTATAGATGTTATTAAAGTATATCCTTTTCAGGTTCTAAAGATGGCATATCCTCATACTCAAAAAGCTCGTGCAGACGAAAACTACATAACAGTATTCCACAATGGAAGACTGACCCTTAAACGAAAAGAAGAACCGCCGAAGAAAGCCCCAATTATAGAAGAAAAAGGCAAGGAGGCTGCTCCAAAAGAAAAACTAAAAGATCCCTCTGCCCCCGTAAGCTCATCTCCAGCTGAAGTTCCTTCGAGTTCAGGTGCTCCGCTGCATCACCATTCATCCAGTAAGGAACCTGTGGAAAAACATCCGCCTCACCGATCATCTAGCAAGGAAAGACGTCCCTCTCACCCCGGCCCGTCCATGCCGGTACCCATAATTCCACCTCAACCCCCACGAAATATCATGGGGTTGGACCCTTGGGGTCGTCCAATCATGCTGCCTCCTGTTACTGATGCGCATAAACTTAACTACCCGCCTCTTAACTACCCGCCTCCAGGCTATTACGGCGGTTTTCCTCGCCCGGTTGAAAAGTCACGGGAATCCCGGGATCGAGCTGGATCTCCTAGAAGAGGTTCTTCCCCAAGGAAAAGAACACCTCCTCCACCAGGGCTAGATTTACCTAGGGATCCGAAGAGACCACGATCTAGAACCCCGGAGAGAATTGTAACAATTAAAAAAGAGGTATCACCTGTCAAGGGTAGACCTGGAAGTCGCTCGCCAAGAAGAATTTCTGTAAGTAGGAGATCACCTGGGAAAAGGTCTCCAGGAAGAAGGTCGCCAGGTCGACGTTCTCCTAGGAGATCTCCAAAACGATCACCTTCCCGGCGATCACCTCGCAAATCACCTTCTCGCAACCCAGTTTCAAAAAGATCACCACCAAGAAAGTCTCCCAGCAGGAAATCCCCCAGCAGGAAATCCCCTGGTAGAAGATCTCCTGGTAGAAGATCTCCGGGGAAAAGGTCGTCTTCGCACCGGCGATCACCACCTAGAAGGCGCTCTCCGCCACGTAAATCACCGGGTCGTAGGGTTAGGTCTCCACCGAGGAAGCCTACCGAGAAGCAAGAGGATGGAGATGGAACAGTATTTCTTGACGAGGGTGCTTATGCTGAGCTCCTTTCGTCCTTGGGATAAGAGTATCTCGATTGTTTTAATGAACATGTTCATTGTTGAAGCCGTGATTTAGTTGGATTGCGCAATTGTGTACAAATCTAAAAGAAGTTATAAACTTATTGACCAGAGTAAACACGAATACTGAGTTCTATGGTTGTTGTAAATGATTATAAAAACTGTGACGACTTTTACTCATATTCCACCAAAATGCGTTGTCGTTAACATGTTCTAGCCGGTTTATTTAAGAAGTTTTATCTTCGTTTATCTTTGCTTCTCACTCAAACCTGGGATTTGCAATTAATATTAATTGTCAGTTTGAAAAGTCAAAATGTTATTTATTTTAAGCTGTTTAAACAGTTGACTTATATTCCAGACTACCGTTGTAATATTTATTAGAATTGTTGCTCCTTAATGCTTATCAAAACAAAGTGTCTTCTTACAAGAATAAAAGGAACGTTTCATCGATCAACAATTTATAAATTCCTGTTTTATGAAATTTGTCCCTAACAAATCCCTGCTTTAAAAAATTCCAATTCGTTTGAACAGTTCTAAGATCTCAAAACCCTAAATCTAACCTCTATGTCAACAGTTACTGTAGTTAGAATGTAACCTTAAATAAACGGATCACCAATGGAATGTCTAGTTATTGGATGTTCTGGTGTCGGCAAATCGACTCTGTTAAACAGGTTAGCCAACATTTTATCTACCACCTAATAGCCTATCCACGTGGATCAATTTTTTGATTTTCCTGAAAGTTGTTTGAAACTGACTAAATTTGACTAAACGCCACTTTCTTCAGACTAAGTGCCGAGGATACTCCCTCTACTCCAGTGCTACCAGTCCTTACACCCACTGTTGGAAGTAATGTTAAAGATGTGCCCTTCTCTAAACGGAAATGTATCCGTCTCCGTGAGGTTCGTGTTATTTTAGCTGGTTAGATTTACTTGCTGATAAGTAGAATTGACTCTGGTGAAGTTAACTATTAACTAAGGTTAGACTAAACTGCACGACACTCTAGCCTTGTATTGAGCCACTCTTCCCCTGTAATTTAACCTTTTTGCATGACTATAAACGTTTCCCAACGTGTGCCCCTTGTTTCAATTATAATTAACCTCCAGGTGAGTGGATCTCTGAGACAAACCTGGTCGCAATATTACTCCGACTCAAAAGCTGTGATATTCCTTTTGGATATGACAAATAGAGCACAGGTGAGCCTACCTGATATTTTACGTTCTTGATAAATCCTGTGACACGTTAGAAGCATCTAAATTATTTATCTTAATTATTGAGGGGGGGGGGGGGGGGGGTCCAAGGGGAACTTTGGGGAACTTTGGGAAAGTCCCCCAAGATTTCTAAGGTTCCCCAAAAAAAAGTTCCCCAAAACTCCCCAAAATTCCCCAAAATTATTCAAAATTATTCAAAATTATTCAAAATTTCTCTAATATACATTAATACCCATTAATGTTAACATGTATGTTATTATTAGGTATAATCTTAACTTACTTGTTGATACTTGCAGCATGATAATTGTTTTGGCATAATTATTTTTTTGGGGAACTTTGGGGAATTTTGGGGAACTTTCTGAAGTTCCCCAAAAAAAAGTTCCCCAAAATTCCCCAAAATTATTTGTTTCATTGATAATTTTTTGGGGAACTTTGGGAAAGTCCCCCAGGTTTCCTGAAGTTCCCCAAAAAAAAGTTCCCCAAAACTCCCCAAAGTTCCCCTTGGACCCCCCCCCCCCCTATTGAATATCTGTGGTGGTTGTGAAATTTTACAATTCAACATTAAATTAACACTTTTAAATAAAACCTCGATAACGATATACTGAAACAGTTGGTTGCAGTCCAATCAAAGCCAATGATACATAGAATAGTTGGAGCAAAATCTTGATGTTGAGATTACTTTTTTATTGTATTACAACTCACCTAAACACGATGATACACATTCCCCGATTTCAGCTGAGTACCAGCCAGGTTGAGCTGCTGAAACTGTTGAGTAATCCTGTTATCAATTTCAGCTGAGTACCAGCCAGGTTGAGCTTCTGAATCTGTTGAGTAATCCTGTTATCAATTTCAGCTGAGTACCAGCCAGGTTGAGCTGCTGAATCTGTTGAGTAATCCTGTTATCTATTTCAGCTGAGTACCAGCCAGGTTGAGCTGCTAAAACTGTTGAGTAATCCTGTTATCAATTTCAGCTGAGTACCAGCCAGGTTGAGCTGCTGAAACTGTTGAGTAATCCTGTTATCTATTTCAGCTGAGTACCAGCCAGGTTGAGCTGCTGAAACTGTTGAGTAATCCTGTTATCAATTTCAGCTGAGTACCAGCCAGGTTGAGCTGCTGAAACTGTTGAGTAATCCTGTTATCAATTTCAGCTGAGTACCAGCCAGGTTGAGCTGCTGAAACTGTTGAGTAATCCTGTTATCAATTTCAGCTGAGTACCAGCCAGGTTGAGCTGCTGAAACTGTTGAGTAATCATGTTATCTATTTCAGCTGAGTACCAGCCAGGTTGAGCTGCTGAAACTGTTGAGTAATCCTGTTATCTATTTCAGCTGAGTACCAGCCAGGTTGAGCTGCTGAAACTGTTGAGTAATCCTGTTATCTATTTCAGCTGAGTACCAGCCAGGTTGAGCTGCTGAAACTGTTGAGTAATCCTGTTATCAATTTCAGCTGAGTACCAGTCAGGTTGAGCTGCTGAAACTGTTGAGTAATCATGTTATCTATTTCAGCTGAGTACCAGCCAGGTTGAGCTGCTGAAACTGTTGAGTAATCCTGTTATCTATTTCAGCTGAGTACCAGCCAGGTTGAGCTGCTGAAACTGTTGAGTAATCCTGTTATCTATTTCAGCTGAGTACCAGCCAGGTTGAGCTGCTGAAACTGTTGAGTAATCCTGTTATCTATTTCAGCTGAGTACCAGCCAGGTTGAGCTGCTGAAACTGTTGAGTAATCCTGTTATCTATTTCAGCTGAGTACCAGCCAGGTTGAGCTGCTGAAACTGTTGAGTAATCCTGTTATCTATTTCAGCTGAGTACCAGCCAGGTTGAGCTGCTGAAACTGTTGAGTAATCCTGTTATCTATTTCAGCTGAGTACCAGCCAGGTTGAGCTGCTGAGTGCTGAAACTGTTGAGTAATCCTGTTATCAATTTCAGCTGAGTACCAGCCAGGTTGAGCTGCTGAAACTGTTGAGTAATCCTGTTATCTATTTCAGCTGAGTACCAGCCAGGTTGAGCTGCTAAAACTGTTGAGTAATCCTGTTATCAATTTCAGCTGAGTACCAGCCAGGTTGAGCTGCTGAAACTGTTGAGTAATCCTGTTATCTATTTCAGCTGAGTATCACCCAGGTTGAGCTGCTGAAACTGTTGAGTAATCCTGTTATCAATTTCAGCTGAGTACCAGCCAGGTTGAGCTGCTGAAACTGTTGAGTAATCCTGTTATCAATTTCAGCTGAGTACCAGCCAGGTTGAGCTGCTGAAACTGTTGAGTAATCCTGTTATCAATTTCAGCTGAGTACCAGCCAGGTTGAGCTGCTGAAACTGTTGAGTAATCCTGTTATCAATTTCAGCTGAGTACCAGCCAGGTTGAGCTGGTGAAACTGTTGAGTAATCCTGTTATCAATTTCAGCTGAGTACCAGCCAGGTTGAGCTGCTGAAACTGTTGAGTAATCCTGTTATCAATTTCAGCTGAGTACCAGCCAGGTTGAGCTGCTGAAACTGTTGAGTAATCCTGTTATCAATTTCAGCTGAGTACCAGCCAGGTTGAGCTGCTGAAACTGTTGAGTAATCCTGTTATCAATTTCAGCTGAGTACCAGCCAGGTTGAGCTGCTGAAACTGTTGAGTAATCCTGTTATCAATTTCAGCTGAGTACCAGCCAGGTTGAGCTGCTGAAACTGTTGAGTAATCCTGTTATCAATTTCAGCTGAGTACCAGCCAGGTTGAGCTGCTGAAACTGTTGAGTAATCCTGTTATCAATTTCAGCTGAGTACCAGCCAGGTTGAGCTGCTGAAACTGTTGAGTAATCCTGTTATCAATTTCAGCTGAGTACCAGCCAGGTTGAGCTGCTGAAACTGTTGAGTAATCCTGTTATCAATTTCAGCTGAGTACCAGCCAGGTTGAGCTGCTGAAACTGTTGAGTAATCCTGTTATCAATTTCAGCTGAGTACCAGCCAGGTTGAGCTGCTGAAACTGTTGAGTAATCCTGTTATCAATTTCAGCTGAGTACCAGCCAGGTTGAGCTGCTGAAACTGTTGAGTAATCCTGTTATCAATTTCAGCTGAGTACCAGCCAGGTTGAGCTGCTGAAACTGTTGAGTAATCCTGTTATCAATTTCAGCTGAGTACCAGCCAGGTTGAGCTGCTGAAACTGTTGAGTAATCCTGTTATCAATTTCAGCTGAGTACCAGCCAGGTTGAGCTGCTGAAACTGTTGAGTAATCCTGTTATCAATTTCAGCTGAGTACCAGCCAGGTTGAGCTGCTGAAACTGTTGAGTAATCCTGTTATCAATTTCAGCTGAGTACCAGCCAGGTTGAGCTGCTGAAACTGTTGAGTAATCCTGTTATCAATTTCAGCTGAGTACCAGCCAGGTTGAGCTGCTGAAACTGTTGAGTAATCCTGTTATCAATTTCAGCTGAGTACCAGCCAGGTTGAGCTGCTGAAACTGTTGAGTAATCCTGTTATCAATTTCAGCTGAGTACCAGCCAGGTTGAGCTGCTGAAACTGTTGAGTAATCCTGTTATCAATTTCAGCTGAGTACCAGCCAGGTTGAGCTGCTGAAACTGTTGAGTAATCCTGTTATCAATTTCAGCTGAGTACCAGCCAGGTTGAGCTGCTGAAACTGTTGAGTAATCCTGTTATCAATTTCAGCTGAGTACCAGCCAGGTTGAGCTGCTGACACTGTTGAGTAATCCTGTTATCAATTTCAGCTGAGTACCAGCCAGGTTGAGCTGCTGAAACTGTTGAGTAATCATGTTATCAATTTCAGCTGAGTACCAGCCAGGTTGAGCTGCTGAAACTGTTGAGTAATCATGTTATCAATTTCAGCTGAGTACCAGCCAGGTTGAGCTGCTGAAACTGTTGAGTAATCCTGTTATCAATTTCAGCTGAGTACCAGCCAGGTTGAGCTGCTGAAACTGTTGAGTAATCCTGTTATCAATTTCAGCTGAGTACCAGCCAGGTTGAGCTGCTGAAACTGTTGAGTAATCCTGTTATCAATTTCAGCTGAGTACCAGCCAGGTTGAGCTGCTGACACTGTTGAGTAATCCTGTTATCAATTTCAGCTGAGTACCAGCCAGGTTGAGCTGCTGAAACTGTTGAGTAATCCTGTTATCTATTTCAGCTGAGTACCAGCCAGGTTGAGCTTCTGAAACTGTTGAGTAATCCTGTTATCAATTTCAGCTGAGTACCAGCCAGGTTGAGCTGCTGAAACTGTTGAGTAATCCTGTTATCAATTTCAGCTGAGTACCAGCCAGGTTGAGCTGCTGAAACTGTTGAGTAATCCTGTTATCAATTTCAGCTGAGTACCAGCCAGGTTGAGCTGCTGAAACTGTTGAGTAATCCTGTTATCAATTTCAGCTGAGTACCAGCCAGGTTGAGCTGCTGAAACTGTTGAGTAATCCTGTTATCAATTTCAGCTGAGTACCAGCCAGGTTGAGCTGCTAAAACTGTTGAGTAATCCTGTTATCAATTTCAGCTGAGTACCAGCCAGGTTGAGTTGCTGAAACTGTTGAGTAATCCTGTTATCAATTTCAGCTGAGTACCAGCCAGGTTGAGCTGCTGAAACTGTTGAGTAATCCTGTTATCAATTTCAGCTGAGTACCAGCCAGGTTGAGCTGCTGAAACTGTTGAGTAATCCTGTTATCAATTTCAGCTGAGTACCAGCCAGGTTGAGCTGCTAAAACTGTTGAGTAATCCTGTTATCAAGGATATTCCAGTTCTCCTGCTACTCAACAAGAATTGCTCCCCTGTTGCTCTAGACATCACTCTCGTCTATAACATCTTCAATATTGATGCCATTCTTAAATACTCGTCTGCCGCTGTAAAGGTTTGAGAAGTGCTTTTACTTTTGTTTGTGCTCATGAAGAAATTATTATTTGCAGATTGAGGCGAATGTTCACTTTTACACATCCGCTCAAAAATAATTCAGGCATGCTCATGCTTAACTAATTTATTGTAGACTCTTCTAGATATCCATTGTAAATACTTCATTTGTCAGGTGTTGGAAGCGGACCTGTCCGAGCAAAGTAGCATTGAGAGTATCCAGTCGTGGATCCGAGAGAAGTACAGCATCAAATGATATCTTCAAGTGACTCCCACCCCTGAAGGAAGAGGTGTTAGCAATATACACTGGCATCAGACTTACTTCAGTCATGTTACATTTAGAGCTTGAAACGAGGAACAAACATTCCATGGTACCTTGATTGGATGAGGTCCAAGAACCAATAATGCTGTTTGTTTATATATCATGACGATAGAATGACGATATGATGACGATGTCATGACGATTTTATAGCTATGAACTTTTCAACAAACACCAATGATTATGAATTAGGAAATATAACCCTCGTGTTTTAACTTTAATGAGAAAACTATGTTACCGAGTACCGGCTTGAACTCACGCTCAAATACCTTACCTCATCGAATTAGAATTCAGCTGTAGCGTGTGAGATGTGTACATTAATGATAACTCGTGTTAATCTTCGTTACTTTGGCCATGTGTCAAACTTACTGCTATTTCATTTTCACCTCTGTCAATTGTCTCGGGAAAAACGGGAAATTTCCTGATTTCAATCTGTTTTGGGAACTGCATGATGGATCGATTGAGATAAACCTTTAGATTAGCTTATAAAAATGTTGTGTAACGAAACACATTTAAACTATTTTTATAATATTTGTATTATGACTTCATAATTAATAAATGAGGAGATTTTCCGGGTGTTTTCTTTAGCTCCTTTTCAAATTCTACTTCCTTTAACGGTGATTTACTGCGTTAAACTTATAAAGGTATGTGTTAAGTTTGTACCTCATATATCTGCTGTACATTCCTATTTGGGTGTTTGACAGTGTTTTGCTGTAACTACTCGTGTAGACTGTCAGTTGCTACACCACCTGTAATGTGTTGGTATTTGTTTCGTTACGATTGATAATGTAACAGATTAGGTAGCTCTTAAAGGGCGTTAGTCAAAATGTAGGGCCACTTTACTTTCGCTTTTGTGTTTAGTTAAGTGTAACTGAGTTTGTGAATGAGCACGAGATGGGCATTTTTATTTCATAATACTGTTGAATTTGTTGTAATCCGACTATTTTCGTGCTTCAGAAATGTTTGACAATTCAGTATTCGCCGGTCAGGAAATATGCATAATTATGTTTTGCCCTACATATTAACGGGAGTAGTTTGATTGAAAATCCCCATTCTTTTACTATTTTTTATTGAATTGAACCATTTCATAAATTTGATTGTTAATTTGTAATTCATCCATTTGTCAATTGTCGTTAAACTGCTTTGTTTAAAATTTAGAATATAGCTTGTTTAATTTGGTATTCTTCTGTCTTCAGAAGTAGTATGACGTTTGAAATTTGAATGATATACCCTGCAATATAGGGATATACTAATCCTACTCCGCCTAAATCAGTGTAAATGAGCCCAAAAAGTTAATCATATAAAAATGCATATATAATAATGTGAGTGTCCCTTAAGAGTAATAATAAGTGTTAATTTTCAAGTTTGGATTTCAAAATTCAAGTATACGAAGAGTTGCTTAAAAGTCACGAGTAAAAACATTTGGGCTTGTTCATTGTTGCTCGAGTGGAAAGCTCCTTTCACACGAAGCACGACTCTGAGCCAGCGGACAGTGCTAAACAGAAACTTAAAAAGTAGGGCGTACATAGTATAGCCCGATTAGTGAGGAGCTTTATCAAGATCAGATAATTAAATCTCTGAGAGAAAGTCTAACTCAAAGTTAATGACCAAGGCCTTAGGCTTAAGCTGTAGCCCTGTATCTAGGCCTGTAGTCCTCCCCCCGGCCCCAAGGCCTAGTCCCACATTTTGAGAGATGGAGAGTGAACGATCTCAAAAATTAATTGAATTAGATCTTGGTAATGTCTCACACGTCAGTTTTAAGTTTCGTAGATTTCTTTAAATCTCGAACAAGCACAGGTACTGAAAGCATTAGCAACGAATGACAAATGAGGGAGAATGGTGTGTTTCTGATATCATGCATAACGGTAAGTCTGTAAATTGGCCATAATCATATATCAGGCATCCGCTATCAGACTTTAAATTTTATTCATGGTCGGATCGTAACTCGTACCACTACCACTTAATTGCAGACGATGGCAGCTCGGCGCGGCACAGTAGCGCTTACCTGAGGACCCCAGGCTATTATGTTCATTAACATAATAAAGATTTGGCGGAATGACAGGCTGAGCGCGGCCCAGTAAAGTAGCGCATCTCGCCGATCTAGCCAGGAGTGTATAACGCATCGCGCTACAACACTACCAGTGGCAGTACCACTAGTAGTAGTACTACTAGTGGCGTAACGACAACGTTGCCTGCCCCATGTTATGTGAATCATGTGCGTTTGGTGTTGTGGGCCCGCTGCGCACAATTAGGCCTAGGGGTCGTTCACATATTGATATTACGTAATCAGCCGAGGGGGGAGGGGGGTTTCCAAATGCTTACGGTTGATTACGGGGGGGGGGGGTTTCGGTCGTTGATTACTTAATCAAAATTTTCTTTTTTACCCTCTAGAATAATAAAAATTTGACAATATTTTAATTCAAATTCCACTCACTCTCAGTCTCAATTTCATTCTGATAGTGATAAAATTTAGAAATTGATCGAATATCCGGCTATAATAGTAAGTTAAAGTAGTTTAGAAGGTGCTTGGCCGGATATCATAACAATGATTTCGGCTCATCATGATAGCATGATCAGGGTAGTATGTTGTAGGTTTACAACCTACCAGGACGCGCGCCGAGTTGGACTCGTCGACGGTCCTAAATATATGGAACAGATATTTTACGAGTATCACCCGTTAAGGTAGCATGAAACGTAGAGAAAAGTGTTTTCTAGGACAAAATTCAAGGGGGGGGGGGGGGGTCAGGCCATAATTACGTAATATTGCTGTCAGGAGGGGGGGAGGTTGGGTCTTGATTACGGTTGATTACGGAAGGGGGGAGGGGGGTAAAAATTGCTAAAATATTGATTACGTAATACTAATATGTGAACGACCCCTTAGTGCGCGGCCTATATTCCATATTCAATATTGTTGATTCACGATGTCAACCCATCGAGATCGTTGCTCTGCGAAGCAAAGCGACGATGCGGCCAGGTAGCGCAGTTGGTTAGCCAGCTTTGCAATCGCGAGGTTGCGGGTTCAAATCCCACTGCCTGCCTGGTCCGAGCGTACTAAATCACTCTACAGTCGATCTTCGAGATTGTTCTAAAAGGGCCCCCGACAGTTGAAACCAACTTCAATCGATGTATTTTCGGACGCTGATTCCGAATCACCCCCCATGACATAGGGTTAAAATGCTCCCCTGACGAGATATAGGCGAAAAACTGTCTCGATCACGTGATATGACCGTATAAGGAAGTTAGTCTAATTTCTCGTTAGGGTTAGGGTTTCAGCATATGCTTTTGTTAAGGATTGGGTTAGGGTTAGGGTTGGGATCAGATAAGAGGGTTAGGGTTTCGAATAGTCGTTCAGGACCAGCTAGAGAACGGGTTGAAAAAGTCACGTGACAGTCGAGTGTAGAGTGATTAATTATCATCCTGCCTGGTCGTGGGGTGAGTGTCGTTGACATTCAGCTAAGGATCGTGAGTGGTCTATGCAGCCCCCCGGTCTACTCAGCCGAATACTCGAGAAATCGGGTGTGAGGGTTAAATGAGGAGCTGCACATTGCAGCAAAGTCTCGGGCGAAGAAAGTATGGTACACACTACCTTAACCGTCACTGGCGAAAAACAAATCCTTCGGCTTCCTGTAATTGGCTGGTTGCACTTGTGTAATACAATATGGCTGTTGGAATACTCCGAAGTAAAATAAGTGTCTAGATTAAAAAAAGCAAACATGCGAAGCAAGAATGCGAAGTAAGTTCACAATCACATATAGCCATGTGTATACCATGTATAGCCATGTGTATACGCGTACTATACTGCGTGACGCGCTTGCAGCTTGTTTCACAAGTAGAATTTGCCGCCTTCGGAGGTCGCGCGCTACTGCAAGCGAGAGGGCTGGTTAAAGCAACGAAGCTTACCTGGGGACCTCAGGCTATTATGTCCATAAACATAGAATGACAGGCTGATCGCAGCCCAGTAAAACGAAGCAATAATGCTAATGTGCGCGTCGAAGCGGCAAAGTCCTCCAATGTCAATCCTTCGCATCTCGCTTATCTGCAAGTGCATACGTGGTTACGCGGCCCAGTTGTGCATTGCGCGCTACAAATTGTACAATCAATATTGTTGATTGACGATGTCAACCCTTCCAGATCGTTGCTCTGCGAAGCTTCGACGGAAGCAAGAATGCTAGTTTGCGCGGTGCGTCGAAGCGGAAAAGTCCAACAATGAACAATATTGACATTGTCACTATTGTGGCTTGAAATGAGGATCGCGACGCGAGACAAATGAAATGTTAATGACCATATTACTCAATTAGGAAGTTCAAAGTTGGTCTAATTTCTCGATTAGGTCAAGGTTCAGGATTTTTTCAGTTTGGGATTTGGCCTGGTAAGGATTAGGGTTGGGGTCAAATTCTGATTATGATAATACTAATAGTATGTAGGGTAAGGCATAGGGTTTCGAACTGCTAAATCACTCCACAGTCGATCTTCGAGATTGTTTTAAAAGGACCCCGGGACCCCCGACAGTTGAAACCACCTTGAATCGCGGATGCATTTTCGGACGCTGATTCCGAATCACCCCCTGCATGACAATGACATAGGGTTAAAATGCTCCCTGGCGAGATATTGGCGAAAAACTGTCTCGATCACGTAATATGGGCTTTTACTAATTCGCTCGCCCAAAAATTTCACGTGACTTTGGTTTTTATGGTTTTGCAGCCGTACAAAACGGTTTTACATAAACCCTAATCCCAACCCTAACCCTAACCATAACCCCGAAGCTTACCATAACCCTTACCACAACCCTAACCCTAACCCGGGCCCTAAACAATCGAATTCGTATTTTACTAGCCTGTCACGTGACCAAAACGGTTTTTTGCCTATAACTCTCCAGGGAAGCATTTTAACCCTACGTCATGGGGGGTGATTCGGAATCAGCGTCCAAAAATACACCGATCTAGATCACCTTCATGCCCAAAGGGCCTTTTCACAAGAATTTTCTTAAAATTTGGGCGAGCGATTTAGTAGGAGCGCGTAATATGACCGTATAACGAAGTTAGTCTAATTTCTCGTTATCGTTAGGGTTTCAACATATGCTTTTGTTGAGGATTGGGTTAGGGTTGGGATCAGATTAGAGGGTTAGGGTAGGCGGGTAATTCGAATAGTCGTTCAGCCTCAGGGCCAGCTAGAGAACGGGTTGAAAAAGTTATGTGACAGTCGAGTGTAGAGTGAATAATCATCATCCGTTTCGATTAATAGCTATTCAGGGCCACCAAGAGAACGGGTTGGAATTAAAAGTCACGTGACAGTCGAGTGAAGAGTAAATAATCATAATCCGTTAACTTCTTCAGATATTCGTCTGCTATGTTACGAATCAGAATCAGGTCGAGGGATTCGATCCTGGCGATGTTATTAATGCACCGATCCTGAATCCGTCTGAGATTGGTTTGTATTTTTAATCTGTAAGCTGTATAAGTGTAATTAACCCTGTAATGTTTTTAAAATTAACCCAATTCACGTAATGATTTTTGGTCGAGAGAAATAATATCAGCCATCAATTCGACCATATTAGAAATTAATTTTAGGTATAATACAGTTAATAGTAATACTGGGCCGCCCAGTGTGCAGTTTTGGAATGAACATGATAATAAAGGTCCTTGAGAGTTGGAACTATATATAAATTAATCAAATTAAGAAGTTATAGAAGTCAAGCTATATATGTTTTATAATATAACTCAATAAAGTTTCATAACTATTGTAACTTGTTTTTCTCTCAGAAGTAACTGCTGTGAACAAAGAACAGCTTGCTTTCACACAAGCAACGTTATCGTGCATCGTCACTGGATTGGCGGAGTCATTAGATAGCGTAATATGGTATATTGAGGGCGATTATACGCCCATAATATCTGGTCAGGATGATTACATTATAGACAAGGGTGTCCTCGAAAACAATTCACAAACAACCACGCTGACGGTCGGAAGTTCTCAAAATAACCAAGATTCTATCTACACCTGTTGGATCACATCTTCAAATGATCCTATTAAGGGTATCGTTGTAAACACCGCTGTCGTTAATTTGAAAGTTTTCAGTAAGTACAATCTTCAACTGTGATTGATACAAATTATGCATGCATACCTAGAATTAAGAACACAAGGGGTACTGGGTAGATCTTCTTCAGACATGAAGCGTATATAAGTAGGAGCTATTAAATATCAGTTAGAACAAATTAATTAGAACAAATACATAATTTTTGATTTTGATAAGAAACCAACTGCAAAATAACCTGGACTATACCTACCAGTAACTTGAGCAACGTAATTTCAGCTATCCGGCCAGATCCTGTAAGTAAAAGGGTCACCACAGCTGTGGACCAAACCTTAACTTGCATTATAGAAGGGCTAGACTCAAACTACCCTGTCTGGGTGACTTGGACAGATGCAGAAGGAGAAATAATATCCACCCAAGATTACCCCAACTATGAGATAACCCAGGAGAGAGTCTATGTTAACGGTTCCCAGTCATCATTACTCACCATTAGGCAGTACAAGCTTCAGAGTTTTGCTGGCTCTTCGTCTTTTAAATTCGGATGTTCAGCAGAGTCAACTCAATATCAAGGATCACCTCCATCTAACCCTATAAGCGTGCATGCTGAAGTTCTGAAGTTAGGTTGGTCATTTTTAGCTTAATTGATTTTTAAATTGAAGGGGCTGATTAATGTTTTTTGGATCCTTGTAATTTGTACAATTTGCGTCACAGTATGTTCTCATTTTAATTCTCTTTAAATACATCTACCAGTTACATCAGTATGTTCTCATTTTAATTCTCTTCAAATACATCTACCAGTTAACTTACATGTTTCTAAGTTTACTGGTTACATTGATTTTATTTCGGTTTCTAACAAATAGTGCTAATACTAGTTTGATGCATGATAAAAAGTTACTACTAAACTTATCGATGATTTCAAAATTCCAGAGGTTATAACCTTGAACGCGAAATCACTGACTGGTACAGAAACAAAATTAACATGTGAAATACTTGGTTTGACGAGGAAATTAGAGTCCTTGAGATGGACGACCTCTAGAGGTGCTGACATTACAAATAATGTCCTCGGATACTCTACTGATGCACCGGGGTACTTCAACGGTACCAGTCAAACAACAACTCTTAAAATTGCCGCAGAACAGAATGATGGGAGTACCAGTTATAATTGCGTCGTAGCATCTTATGAGCATGGCGTCAAGGAACTCAGCACAGCGGTCATATTCAAAAACAACATAGGTTTGAACTTGGAAGACTTTGCTGCAGTTTTTTGTTTTGTGTACAATTTAGAAGTTTAAGTGGTGGCAGTATCAGCAAGCTTCGTTACTCTTAAAAGTAAAACTAATTAATCAATGAATTGGCGATTCTTGTTCATGTAGTTGTTCGCCACTATCGTCGAAAACGCTATTTTTAAATTTACCAATATCCTCAAACTTCACTGAACGTGTCCATACAAATTTATTTAATACTAGTAGTTGGCCTTCAAATTGATCCAATTGAAATAAGGCATTTTAGACAAATAACATTGCATCGCAGTATTATCTGTATCTGTATAAGAGTTAAAAAATAATAGTTGATTTGCCGCACGTTGCATATCCCTTTTGTGCACAAAAAAGGTAATAATTTTTGTCTGTAAAAATAATGGCATAAAAATAGAAATGTTTGTTTAGGTTTTTGTTGAACTTCTGAAATACCGTCAGCATCTTATTTTAACTATTAGCTGTTATTTATTTAACGGAATTTATTGGGTGAGAATATCGTTAGAAGTAAAGTAAAATTTAAAATAGTAGACTGAAATAAATATTCCCGTCAGAATGATCAATTTATTTTCAATTAACAATAAATAACCCATTAGTGAATATAATTCACAAACTGACAACTGCAGGGTGGACAGCAGTAACACGTGACGAGCTAATACCCTTCCCACTTGAATCTACTTCACTGGAGATAAGGACTGATAGTCGGCTGGGAAGTGGTGATACAGTGGCGGTGTTTTTCTACGAGGGTACCTCATTAACCTCATCAGGAGGAGTCTATATCTCCTTCTCATCTACCCCCCGGTACTTGATCTACTACTGCACCAGTTCCTACACTGATTTCCCAGTTACTCTGCCCTCCACTACTGACAAGATATGGAGGATTACCCTGACACGCAGTTCAGGTGTCAGAGTTACTATACACTGTAATAACGAGGAAGTAGCTAACGTGCTGCTATCAGACACCTCGTGTGATGACAGTATGAGATACTTCTGGAACAGAGAGACGGCGTATATAATGTTTAGTGGTTCCGACACAGCCTCAGATTACTATAGAGAGGCTAAATATTCCAGTAACCAGATATATTGTACGTGGCCTGGTATAGTAACTAGTGTAAAGTATAGTAACTAGTGTAAAGTATAGTAACTAGTATACAGTATTTGACCAAAACCCATAATCATGCACGGTTACGAATTGTAATAAAGCTTATTGAATGGGAAAAGCGAGCGACCGATTTCATTCTCGGTATCAATATGCATTTTCGAACGGCTATTCAGATTAATATCATTTCCTTTTGTTTGGAAAAGAGAAACACTGGCAGCGGTCCACTCTACCCATGATTATGGGTTTTGGTCAAATATCATCTCTTTTTGATTATAATGTTAGGATAATTTACAAAGTCGAAATGTTAACTCATAACTTCATTAATATTAATATTAATAAGGAAGTAATTTAAACGATTAAGACTAATTAATCTATAAATTGTCGATTCATTTCATTCTATGCATCGGCATGAATTAAACAGGAATTAAACAGGAATGTGTTTTTCTTGCCAATGATACGACACTCTAGCACTCCAATTATGAATAAGGGATCAGTAAACATATTATTGCATTTTTGTCTTTGCAGTAGTTACAATATCCGTGAGTTCACCAAAAGTAAAAGTAGCTGAAACTGCGACACTCACCTGCCGGGTGACAGGGTCAAGTTCTGGGGGGACAATTAAATGGTTCAAAAGATCAGAGGAGATGCACGATGATGGTGAAAAATATACCTTCGTAATGACGAAACTAGAAGATCAGGATTCGGGGGATATTTTCATTTCTCAGTTGGAAATTTCTAAATTTGGTCTTGCGGAGGATATGGGGTTATACAAGTGTGGCTACTTAGAGCACTTTTCAAGTTCGATATCTCTAGATTTGTTAGGTGAGTACTGACACTATCGTCGAAAACGCTATTTTAAAATTTACCAATATCCTCAAACTTCACTGAACGTGTCCATACAAATTTATTTAATACTAGTAGTTGGCCTTCAAATTGATCCAATTGAAATAAGGCATTTTAGACAAATAACATTGCATCGCAGTATTATCTGTATCTGTATAAGAGTTAAAAAATAATAGTTGATTTGCCGCACGTTCCATATCCCTTTAGTGCACAAAAAAGGTAATAATTTTTGTCTGTAATAATAATGGCATAAAATTGAAATGTTTGTTTAGGTTTTTGTTGAACTTCTGAAATACCTTCAGCATCTTATTTTAACTATTAGCTGTTATTTAACGGAATTTATTGGGTAAGAATATCGTTAGAAGTAAAGTAAAATTTAAAATAGTAGACTGAAATAAATATTCCCGTCAGAATGATCAATTTATTTTCAAATTACAATAAATAACCCATTAGTGAATATAATTCACAAACTCACAACTGCAGGGTGGACAGCAGTAACAGTACAAGAGGAGCGAATACCCTTCCCATTTGAATCTACTTCACTGGAGATAAGGACTGATAGTCGGCTGGGAAGTGGTGATACAGTGGCGTTGTTTTTCTACGATACCTCAAAAACCTCATCAGGAGGAGTCTATATTGGCTTCACATCTACCCCCTGGTACCAGCTCTTGCACTGCCGTTACTCCAATGATTTCCCAGTTACTCTGCCCTCCACTACTTACAAGATATTGAGGATTACCCTGACACGCAGTTCAGGTGTCAGATTTATTATACACTGTAATAACGAGGAAGTACTTAACGTGCTGCTATCAGACACCTCGTGTGATGACGGTAGGTGGGGAGACTACTGGAACAGAGAGACGGCGTATATAAGATTTAATAAAGACACAGCCTCAGATTACTATAGAGAGGCTAAAACAGGTTATTAACATCAATCATTTTAGATTACAGTAACCAGATATATTGTACGTGGCCTGGTATAGTAACTAGTGTCTAGTATACAGTATAATAACTCGTATACACTGTAGTAACTAGTGTAAAGTATAGTAACTAGTGTACACTATAGTAACTAGTGTACAGTGTAATAACTAGTATACAGTATTTGATCCAGAACAAAAGGAAGTGAATATTAATTTGAATAACCGTCCGCAAATGCAAATTGATACCGAGAATGAAATCGGTCGCTCGCTTTTACCATTCAATTTCATTCACGGCTTACGAACTGTAATAAAGCTTATTGATTGGGAATATAATATCGGCAGTAACTCTGTACAGGTGATAAATCAAATATTCTTCAGATATGTGTGACGTTGGTACAGTTAGAGATGGCGCCCAATGCAGGAAATGTGACCCTGGGTTCGAGCCAGACCCTCCTCAATCTGCGTGTGGTTAGTTATAACCTTGTTCGTGTAGTTGTTCTATGAAATTGAACATGTAGTTGTTCTATGAAATTGAACGTGACATAATTTGCTAGAAATAAGAAAAATATCGTATTACCACGCACTGTTAAAATGTTAAGATCTTTGTTTGTTCAACCTGAGGATATCATGGTTCTAGTACGACCCGACATCAAAAAACCTGAATCATGCACTACATCAGCAGAGTGCTTACGAGAAGAAGCAACAGCAGCTCATGATATGCTATGAGAATAAAGCAGCAGCCCAGCTAAAAATAAATCCAAAAGCTTTCTACAGCTATATGAACTCCAAGCGCAAGATTAGGGCTGCAATATCTGGAATCAGAGATGCTAGTGGGGATGAACTCCACTCAGCACATGATATGGCTAACCAACTTGGGATTTTCTTTGAGAGCACGTTTGTAAAGGAGGATCAGGCCTCAATACCTGACCCACTACCCGGAGACAGCGCAAAGGCGACGATTCCTGACCTGAAATTCAATACAAGTGAAGTTCAAGATCAACTTCGTAAAGTTAACATCTGGAAGTCCGTTGGACCTGATGATATACACCCCAAGCTTTTGAAAACACTAGCCGAAAACAAACAGTTTGCTGATTCAGTCACAGCACTGTTCCAAAAATGCTACAACGAGGGAAAGATTCCCGAAATCTGGAAGCAGGCAAATGTCACTGCATTGCATAAAAAGGGGGATAAAACCCAAGCCAGCAATTATCGCCCTATTAGCCTAACGTGCGTTCTTTCCAAGATCTTTGAGAGGTTTTTAAGGAACCATATTCTAGCTCACGTATCCCCCATGATTGTGAATGAACAACACGGTTTCCTACCAAAAAGATCCTGCGTCTCGAACCTACTGGAATGTATGGACATTGTCAGTGAGATACTAGAGAAGGACGGGTCAGCTGATATACTGTATCTCGATTTTCAGAAGGCTTTCGATTCTGTACCACACAAACGATTGCTGAGAAAATTACAATCCTTTGGAATATCTGGCAACACCCTTGCAGTCGTGGAAGACTTTCTAACAGGAAGAACATTTCGTGTCAGGGTTGGATCATCATTTTCTAGAGTGTTTGCTGTAACATCTGGGGTCCCTCAAGGAACCGTGCTGGGCCCCCTGCTCTTCCTGCTCTTCATAAATGATCTCCCTGATGGAATTGAGAGCTTCGTATCACTCTTTGCGGACGATCTTAAGCTAGTAACGAGCACAGCTAAGCACAGTGTTGCACAAGATGATATACTGAAACTCAATGCGTGGGAGAAGGAATGGCTCCTAAGATTCAATGTGAAGGATGGCAAGTGTAAGGTACTACATATTGGGCGTAACAATCCAATGCACGAGTACTTCATGAATGGGGAACGCCTCCCCCAAGTGAAGGCAGAAAAGGATCTTGGAGTTCTAACTACCAGAAACCTGGACTGGAGTGATCATATAGATAAGTCCGTGAAAAAAGCAAAGTCTGTTATAGGCTGGATCAAACGAAGTTTGATCTGCCGTAACAAATTTGTTATGCTAAATGTCTACAGAACTCTAGTTCGACCTCACATCGAATACGCTGTGCAAGTGTGGAATCTACCAGCAGAGCACGGAAACTGGAGGACTATTAAGAAGATAGAAGACGTTCAGAGAGAATTTACACGAATAATCGACGGGATTGGTATCCTACCATACGATGAGAGACTGAGAATCCTCCAGTTAACAACACTACTGGAGCGCCGTATGAGGGGTGATCTTATTGAAACCTTTAAAATAACGACGGGTAAAGTGGACTATGGACAAGATCTTTTCAGGATATCACGTAGCGGTACCAAGATCCTAAAAGATAAAAGAGGAAATCAGGTCCTCAGTAACCGTGTTGCCAATTACTGGAACAAAGTACCAAGTTCGGTTAAAGAAGCCAGTTCAGTAGACGCATTCAAAGCTCGACTTCAATGTTATAAAAATGAACTGATAGCGAGTGGAGCATCGTCAAAGGGTCACTTCTGGGATCTCAGCGAAACCTTGATGTCAAAAATAAATACATGTGAGCATGATTCATATGCACATTTCATGTCTAATAACCCATTGATTGCTAAATACCGAGGAATCAATGTTTCTTGATTGTTAAATTCAGAACTACATGTTAACGTCCTAAAAATAATTAATCATTAAATGTTCCGGATAGGAACATTTTTCTTTTTGATAATATTGTGCGAACTGCAATAGCGTAGAGTGCAGTTGGGTTTCAAGTTTTGTCGAGATGGCCATGTGGCCATAATCCTATTATTATTATTATTATTATTTAGTACTCTTCAAAAGTTGATTCACAAGATCTGCTAACTTACAAGATGTAACATCACTTCAGTGCCCTGTCCAGCTGGAAGCTACAGGAATATTGATATGGACACGTGTGCAGAATGTCCTGACAACACGATCAGTACAATAGAAGGACAAGTCTCGTGTATACCTTGTGAAGATGGCAAGGAACGAGAATTAGATGGAACTGAATGCGGTAAGGAATCTGAATGGGTTTATGTTAGTTGTAGAACCTTTGAGATAGGATGATGTGAATCGTCATCAATAATTATATTTAATAAGAATAACTGACAAACGTGTTCTGTTGATTCGCGCAATTGCAGCCAACTTTATCCTCTTATGCCAGTCAGTGTAATCACAGTTTCAATTAATCGAAACTTATTAAAATTCGTAAGCCGTGAATAAATGGGAAAAGCGAGCGACCGATTTCATTCTCGGTATCATTTTGCATTTGAGAACGGTCATTCAAATTGATATAATTTCCTTTAGTTTGGGAAAGAGAGACACTGGCAGCGGTCCACTCTACCCAATTATGGGTTTTGGTCAAATTATGTTAAATAATATCCATACTACAGTACATAGCTACATGATGAAGAGAAATTAAAACATAACTGATTTTTAAAATTTCGTCGAACAAGGCTTTCGACTATTTACCAATATCCTCAAACTTCACTGAACGTGTCCATATAAATTTATTTAGTAGTAGGCCTTCAAATTGATCCAATTGAAATAAGGCATTTTAGACAAATAACATCGCAGTATTATCTGTATCTGTATAAGAGTTAAAAAATAATAGTTGATTTCCCGCACGTTGTATATCCCTTTTGTGCACAAAAAAGGTAATAATTTTTGTCTGTAATAATAATGGCATAAAATTGAAATGTTTGTTTAGGTTTTTGTTGAACTTCTGAAATACCTTCAGCAT